TTGCACCCGGCGTGGAACTTGTGGAACCGACAGAATTGATCAACGGTTGAGGCATGGCAGCGGAAGAGAGAAATCTGTCAAGCTCGAAAGCTTCAAGGGTCGAGCGGACAGTTTAATGCCATAGCATGTAGTTTGAACGATCCAAGAGAATATTAAGTTTGGGTAGTTTGATGGGGATAGAGGTTGAGCCGGAAGCCATGATGAGCGGATTACCGGAATTTGCGACGGAAACCTCTTCTTCGTCCGACATGGGTGTGGCGGCCGTGAGGGTGGCGGATCACGCCTAGGAGTCTGATACCATATTATTTTTGCATTGTGTTTAGGGTTTCAAGCTTGAGTTTATTCCATCATTAGAGGAGTATTTAAATACAAAGAGTCTGGGTTTATTAGGGCTTTACAAGGGTTTTAATATGGACCTAATAAGCCAAGAGAATATTACAAATAAATACAAAATATACTATCCTTAAGTAGGTGGCGGTTTATGGAATTTCCGTTAGAGGTAAGTTAACGGTGTGAAATTTTTAAGCATGTTATCCATAGATTGTAATCTTATAGGTCCCTAATCTTTATATAATATAAAGTAATAGTTTTTGCACCACAATTGGAGGGAAAAATCCTGTCCAAAATAAGGGTAAAAATGTAAATCCTTAAATAGAGCAAAATCCAAGCATTCAATACTTTGCATCAAATAAGAAACTCTCGCTAGAATAATTAATGTGCTTTTATACCCAATTAACTAATGTGCATACTATGTTTAGTAAATTTCCATCCAAGGAGATCAAGTTGACTCAATTTATACACGTGATGTTATATGTAATCAACTAATTAAGATCACAATTATTGCTTGCTTCATATTACCATATATTTTTTATAACTTAATCAGTACTTATTTGTAACTAATTTACATGATTTATAAGTATATAACAAACGTTATTACTCGGGAGATTTACCTAAATAGGACTAAATAAAAGGATAATTGTAACAATAGGACTTTAAAGTTTAAATTCTCAAAATAGGACTGACTCTTCTTATTCTACCATTTCCTTTGTCCTTCCTAATATGATTTTTTATACAATCATTATAAAATATAAAAAATCAAAATAAAAAAATAAAAATCGTAAAAAAAAAAATAAAAAAATATACTGACCTCAACCACCACCTCGGCCACCTTCCAGCACCGCCACCTCCGGTCGCCGAAAAAGATTGCAAAGTTGGGGGGAAAATGTCATCATGATGACAATTTTGAAGAGAAAGCTGGATATTTTCAAAGAGTAAAAATGTCATCTTCATGACATTTTCAGAGAAATTTGGCATTTTTTACACATAATGGCATTTTTTCTGGTGACCAGAGCTGGTGGTGATGGGAGGTAGAGGACGCGTTGGCAGTGACCTACATATATTTTAAATATTTTTAGGTACTTTATTTTATTTTTAGACTTTTTAATTTTTTTTAAATATTTTGTTTATTTTTCTGTTTTTTATTTTTATTTTATTTGTTCACGTTTTTATCATTAATTTATAAATATTTTAATGTTTTTTATATTTTTATTATAAATAAAAATATGATTTTCTTATTAATAAAATAAACCTATCGGAAACTATAGGAAGGGGGTAAAATGGGAAGAAGAGTCATATATTAGTGCTATTTTGGGAATAAAAGGATTGAACTCCTATTGTTGAATTTTGGACTTATTTTAGTCCTATTAAGGGCTAATACCCGTTATTATTCTCTTATTTTCCCTTAATGCTAAAGCAATAATACTTATTTAAGTATCGACAAATTGAAATAAACAACCGTAGTTGAAATGACATGATTTTAATAATATATGCTTACCATAATTCATAATTAGCTTGGTGAATCACTTAAAGCATCTCTAGCTAATGCAAAAACGTGAATGGTGCACACGTGGCAAGAGAGATATAGATACATAAAAATTAATAAGTAGAATATATTTCTCCTTATTTGAACGGTCATATGTGATTTTGATAAGAAATTTCTTCACGATGTGTAGATATAGACATTGCGTTTGTCATTGTTAAAAAAACTTAGCAAAAGCTCATTAGATTGTGGAAATAAGAAGAGAGAAATGTCGCAAATGTTTTCTTATGTGTCTCCCTCATGCAAATATGCACCGTGTACATTAAAGATGCTCTAGGAATACTAATTACGTGCCTTCAAATTACTACAAAGTAATAAAATCAACGGTGACCATAATGGAAACAAGAATACAATATACTGCTACTACTTTCGTTAATTAACAAATCAAAATTTCAATTAGTTTATATGTAAACTTTGTATTCACTCTATCAATTTATTTTTTCTCTACAATTCAACACCGTCAATATTTCACCATCACATATTTTATAACTAAATCCTTACTTTTGTTTTTATAATACATCAATTTTGTAAATAACTGTTTATGAATATAATTATGATTTAAAAACTCACACATTCTTATGTAAAACTAACTAAATTTGGACTCTAATTTTGTTGTTGTTATTTCAGAACTATTTTTTTTAAAAATAAAAGAAGATATAAAAAGAATATTGTAACTATGAGATCATAATTTTAGCATTTGGATCTACCTAAGAGAAATTTTGAATCTAAAAACCCCGAAAAAGTTGAATCTTTGGGTTTTTTTGAAATGTATATATGAAATATTGATGTCAGGGGCGGAGCCAGGGCACTGGGCCAGACTGGGCCGGTACAAAGAATATTATTGGGAAAAAAATTCACAAAATTTTTTACACTAAAAATATTGACATTTTTTAAATTTGGGATGGGCTAGGGCCTAGCTTGGGCACCCCCTAGCTCCACCCCTGATTGATGTCATATGAAAGATAATTAAAAATAAGAATTTGGATATTTTCATACAAAATTTGGATTACAAATAAAAAGTTAAAACTTTTTAAAAAATAAACAATTCTATGACATTGACTCCATCACTCGATTTTGTACGTTGTAGTTATATCGTTTTCTTCTTTTTTCCCCACCTTGGCAATTCCTTAAAGCTCATATTTTTTCTTTTCAACCCCAATGTCACAATTGGTACGTCTAATACTAACTAACAAAATGTTTAAAATTTTGTTTTCAAAATTTTCTCCCAAGTGCAGTTACTTTTTACAGAGTATAAGGTAAGCTATAGGAGCATCACCAATGCAATAATGTGTGAGGTACATGTGAAATGAGAGATATAAACACATAAAACCAAATCAATAACATCTCTCTCTCTCTCTCTCTCTCTCTCTCTCTCTCTCTCTTCACGGGTTTATACAATTTTGACAATTTTTTAAACAATGTCAACCACAATGTTTATATCTAGACACCCTTCTTGAGATTGTGGAGAAAAAACTACCAAAACATATAAATCACTCAAATAATAAGAAATATATCTTGCTTAACAATATTTTTGTGTGTATCTCTCTTACCGCATGTACACCGTGTACATTGTGGCATTGAAAATATTCTAAGATCTTCTCTAATTTATTGATGAATATTGTCTATCATGTGTAATAATAGTAGAAATACCAATAGTAATAACAAAATTAATAAACATGGTACTCTTGGTTTACCAACAAATCTTTCCTCTCACTTTTCTATTTAATTCATATTTATATAATCATACAAATTAGTAAAATTGTAATATTAATTTGCTTCAATATTTTCTCGCCCAAAGTAAAAAATCTTTTTTCTCATTAATTTGGGAAGACGCCTTTTCTTTTATTTGTTCTATTTATACTTATTTACGGAGTAATACGTAGTACTATAAAGTAATAAAATTGTAATAGTTTGCGTCTCCAATATTCATGCCCCAAGTGTGATCTATCTATAATAATTGACACCTAAAATAGATAACTCAAAGTTCTAATCAAGTAACAAATTATCCTTAACTTTCACGTGGAATTTTAATTTTTTCTCTATATATTGATGATCTTTACATAACAAAAATAACAGAGTGACTACAAATATTGACTAGAAATTCCCGCTTAAATTGAAGATAAGTTCTACTTCATATTTGGTCATTATTAAAAGTATTTTTTTAAATAAAAGTTAATACTGATAATAATCCACATTTGGTAAAAAGCCTTTTTTCTCAGGTGTTATATTTGTTTTTATATGCATGCAATAATGATATAAAGTACAAAAGTGTTGCTATTTTTTCTCTCCAATATTACTGCCTCGATCATAGGCTCATAATGGGGCCTAAAATAATGTAATACTCCGTATTAGCTCTTACTATCTCCGTCTTACTATAGTTGAGACATGAGAAACTGTCACGGTTATTAAGAGAAGTGAGTTTATGCGGTTGATATTGAAAAAGAAATGTTAGAAAAAATATACTAATAATTATATTATCCTCAATTTCTTCACCATATACATAGAGTTTATTATTACACCTTATTATTTATTTTAATTTTTACTTCCAATTTTTCATACAAACCAAGTTTTATTTTCCTTCAGCTATCTTATTCTACATTTGTTCTTAAATAAGTGAAACATGCTGAATTTGCACTATTCACATGTTCTACTTTGACAATATTTTATTTATTAATATATTAATAATTTTTTTAAAAAAATTATTAAATGTATCTCATTGTAAATTTTCAAAAACTGATTTTTTAAATTTTTTTACTAATAGAGAATTATATATATTAATGGTCAAAGTTGTGCACCGATAAATGTGAAAGTTGACCGTTTGCATTTATTTAAGAACGAAAAGAAGTACAATCAAAACTACAACACATAAATTATTCTTTTACCCCAAGGGTGGTCGCGGTTGGGGGGTTGGAGAGCCTAGAGTAAACCAGGATCAAGCGATCTGGACCACTTCCTCAAACTCTATTCTCTTTTATTTGGCAAAAATATATATTACGTAGAATTTGATAAAATAAAATTTTAAATAAGTTGTTATTCTATTCTAGACACATCGCGTGTATCGCACGGGTACTTCGACTAGTCGATAGAATTATTATCCAGAATTGATAATAAACCAACTTTTAGATCGGATAAAATTCCAAAAAAGTTCTTCGTATGTAACTTCTTCCGTTCTTCCCATTCTCTCAATAGTCCACGGACATAACTTTCACACGGTCATGCCACATCATCACCGCGCCTCCACAACAAGCCGTTCTGCCTCCACGACAGCATCTTAAATCTCGTCTCTTAAGCCGTTTGTAAGCTTCCCTTCAATTTCTGATTATGTTTCTATAGTTGGAATTAACCTTCTTTGTAAAATCCAGTTGAACTTAGGCACTTGAACTGTTTGAAAGTTTTGAATTTAACAGATTGTTGGAATTAAACTGATGTATTATCAACAAATTCGTGGAACTTAAATCTTTTGGAGTTTAGATACTTGAGCTTGTTAACTGCAGTGGAAATTTGATTGTTGCTTGAATTTTGGGATTCAAATTTTGAAATAAAAAATCACTTATTTTTTTGAAATCTGAATTTGATAATTGTAATAAATATTGGAACAGTAGAATTGGTATTTAGGTGTTGCTTGGAATTCAAACTTTTTGTTTTCATGTTCCTAAAGTAAAACTTGATTTTTGGTCATGGCTCATTCCAACATGCAGCCACTTTTTAATTAGGTAGACACAGTACACCGTTTCATGTTCAGATTTTAAAACTTGGATTGGCTTCTGGCCAAATTGTTTGACTGTAGCAAGGTTTGAAATTGGGCATTGCGAATTTGAGGCCTTGTTCGTGTATAGCGCATTGTCTAAGCCTCATTGCACAATGAGGCGTATGGCTGAGGTGTAACCCTTATTATTTACATGTATACATATAAAAAAGTAATAAATAAATAAATAAATAAATATTCATCAAAATCAAAAAATTCATAAACATAGTTTTGTATCTTTATATCCACAAACAGTAACACTAGGACTCAGCCCTAACCCGCCCCGAACCCGTATTACCTGGCCCGACCCTCGGTTCCTCTACCTGTTTGCCCACCCCTAATAAAAAGTGTTAATATCATGTTACAAAATAATATATGTATATATGTATGTATTTATATATTCAGGTCACATCTGGGATCTCATTTGTATATTTGCTGCTCCATCTCATCTCATTGAGTATCTGTGGGTGATGGAGAGTGTGGTGGTGCACAGCATAGTACCCCCTCTTATGTGGCTGCCACCCCATGACTCTAAAGGAGCCTCTTTCGTTAAAACTACAAATGTAACAAAAATTTCCAGTAGCGCTACACGACTGCATCATTCCCAATCCCACCACACCTATTCACAAAAAGGACTCATCATCGGTCTAAGAAGCTATAACTATTTAGGCCATTCACGTTCCTCACTCCATTGCAATGTTTCTGATCCACCTTCTTGCAGCAATGAGGCAACAACAAAGGAATGGGCTATGCAAGGTAGCTACTCATTTCAATTTTCAACTGCAATGTCCGTATAATTTTTTTATGTGTACCTTTATTATGCTATGGATAAATTTTAGTTGTCATTTATGTGCATCTCAGAAGTTTTGATGGCTGTATAACAGATTTTTATACATTAAGAAAGGAAGTTGAGGTTACTTCAACCCGGGTTGAAGAAATTAGGGCTGCGGCTGGGCTGCAGCAACGGGAAGAGGTCATTGCATCCCTAGAAGCTGCAGCAGCAGATGGCTCTCTCTGGGACGATCATGCCAAAGCTCAACAAACGCTTCAGGCCTTGACTGATTGCAAAGAGAAATTGAAACTTCTAGATGATTTCATGTCACAGGTTCAAAATTTTCCTTCTGTTATCAATCCCGTTGTTGCTGGGTGGTTAATGTTATTGTGAATTCCAAGTAAAACACTTCAATCTTACATACTGAGCAAAAATGAACAGTAGGTAGCTGCATTGTTTGTGCTCAAAACACAGGGACAGCTACAGCTTAACTTTAGCGAAGTAACACTTCAATATGGTCAATGCATGTTTCTGGTGTTATTTTTTTGCACATATACATCCAAAGCAACAAATTTAATGTCCTTGTGGAAGAATGCAGTACATAAAAATAGAAAACAGGACCCCCTCAATGTCTATGGCCTTCATCTAGCTATTAGGCTCCCACTTTAGTTGCTTGTTTTGAGGGAGAATGACTGGTAGGGAAGCAACCATAAGGAAGAATGATAGGTCGTCAGTAATGTAAGATAGGGGCAGTATTGACTCCAGAACACTTCCCGTTTCTTTATTTTAGTCTGACTCGAACGGTTTTTTATTTACAGACTATTTGATCTTCAATTCTGTTGAGAGGTGGTATGCAACTTATGTTAAAGGTTGGGTAAAGACTAGCTTAGTTTTTCTCCCTGCACGTAATGTTTCATTGGAACATAGACAATCATTTGGTGCAAGAAAGAGTATTCTTTGTGCTAAATGCAAGCCACAAGGTTGATAGGCTGCCTTCTACAAATTCATTTTCTGCTTAGATCATAATCAATTCATCATCATCATGCGCTGAACACCCAGTTATGTCTGGGTCAGTGGCATGAAGTTTATAGTTTCAGTTCAATGTCTAAAACAAGTTAGCAAGAGATTCATGCAAAAAGCACAGTGACATAGTTTGTAGCTTCAATTCATTCTGTGAACTAAGTTAACTAGAAATTCAAGACAAAAAACACAGTGACAAAGTTTACATTGGATGCTATTCATGTCGCAACCTTCTTACGAAGTAATGAAATGAAAGTTTGAAATTGCCATCATGATAGATTGGTAGGTTCTTTCCACTTGCATGGGAAATATCACAAGACGCTGATGAATTGAGATATTTGCTAAAGTCTGTTCCATCACAAGATTGATATTGTTAAATCAACATGCACATTTTGAAAAATGACTATCCTGTTGTGCATAGATTTGTCTACATTTGATTGTTTGTAAAAAATGTGTTTGCAGTAAATAAATATGCATAAAGTTGTGGGCCTCCTAGTCTTTATTATTTCTTCTTGTAGCTACTATACATCTAAAAGATTAAAACAATGATTCAAGCATTTCATTGAATTATGCGGAGTGCATTTCAACCTTCAAAGTAATGAATATATCTATACTTTTGTAGAAGAGGTAGTTGGTATTAATTAGCTAGCAAGTGTATTGGGTGAAGTGCAGGATTAGATTGGACTATCTCCTTCTGAACTGGTCCTATTTAGGATGCGTTAGTGAAACTATTTTTGAGATTAGCAGCATTGGATGTGTCAATCCCACTTTGTCTATTTTTTGCGAGTCCTAATATCTATTTGTAGTTTTGTACTTGTGTATCTAATGAATAAATTTGATGCCTTGACTTCCGAAGTGGAACTCAAAGACTATGTTTTTTTTACATTTGCAGGTTGGTGATGCCGAAATGATAATAAAGCTTACGGAGGAAATGGAATCTATTGATACAGGGCTTCTTGAAGAAGCTTCTGGTATTATTAAGGGATTGAATAAAGCAATGGATCATTTTGAGTTGACTCAGCTTCTCTCTGGTCCCTATGATAAAGAAGGCGCTGTTGTTACCATTACAGCGGGTGCAGGGGGCACTGATGCACAGGTAATACCATAATACTTGGATGTGATGAAAGGGTCATTGTTTCACCTTTTTATTGTGAGAAAATAAAACCGTTAATCCTCAATTTTCGGATCCGTCATAGCTCTTGCTTTATCAGAATACAAGCAACCATATCTAGCACCATATAAGATCAAGTTCCCTGTAGCAGTATTGAAGATCTTATCCTTCTTTGCGAGCCATTGTAGTATTAACATCAAAGAAGTTATGTAATACAACAACAACAACATCCAAGCCTTAGGGGAGTCGGCTAACATGAATCGACATATGAAATTGGAGTTAAAGAAGATAAAAATATTCATCTTTCGATTCATGTCATGTGATATAACTAAATTACACTGTTGGCCATCACGCGCTTACCATAGCTGCCTCCTTTATCCTGGCTTTGGACAGTTTTGTAATCTTAGGTTTAATTTACTTCGCTTAGCAATTTTTTCCTTGCAAGCTTCCAAATATTCAGTTCATGCTTTTCAGCTGTAGTGCAAGCGCAATAGAACTTTGGCTTAACACACTTCAACATTTGTTACCTTCAAATGTGTGTGTAGATATGGTCCAGTGAGCAATTAAGATGTATAAATCCATTGTACTATATCCCTATGAAAGTGAATCTTTTTGAGAAGTAATAATTTCTTTATAATACTTCTAACTTGGCATCTAACCATGAGCCAATGGGAACTGGATGGAATTTATAAGGAGGCTAGAGGAAACAGTAAATCTGTTATTAAGGGCTTCTTTGGTGAAAACAGTATTGTATTTCCTTCTCACTAAGTTTTTCACTCTAACAAGGTAAGTTGAAACATGTGAACCACTGTATTTCCTGCTCACTGTGTTGTACACAAAAATGCTTTCAAAATTTCCTTGTGAGAACTATTTATTTTACTTTTCCTTAAGACAAAAGACAATCATGCCCTAACTTCCTTGGTAAAAGGGTTACATTTTTCTATCTCTAGTCTAAAACCAGAAAGCCCAAGTGAACTACCACGCTCTTCCAACTATCTGCCAACCGTCTTTGTGGTTGCCCACATGCATTCACGGTGCCCCTACCACCATCACTCTCGCAGCCATGGTTGGGCCGCGGGTATGCGGTGCCAGCAATCTGCCAGCCCGCCGGTGCAATCGAACCGCGTGGCGCTTCGCATGTGCTATAAAGGGAGAGGGGCGTGCTACACTATCAGCGATTGCTTTTAGTGTAGCGGTAAGCGCAACGATCCACAAGTGGTATCAGAGCCAAGGTCACGGGTTCGACCCCCGGCAACAGCATGCTGCGCAGTTGAGGCTGTCAGGTGCTGGGGGAAATTGTTGGGCCACGGGTATGCGGTGCCAGCAATCTGCCAGCCTGCCGGTGCAATCGAACCGCGTGGCGCTTCGCATGTGCTATAAAGGGAGAAGGGCGTGCTACACTATCAGCGATTGCTTTTAGTGTAGCGGTAAGCGCAACGATCCACAGCCATATTTGTCAATTGCCATCAGTGCATCACTTCCATGCATGATGCCGTCATCATCATCATCAACAACAACTTTTAGCCTTTATCCCAGTTATGCTGCCATTATTTAGCATTGACATTATACAACTTAAGAGCATGCTATCCAATCTGCCAATTGAAATGTGAACTAAAATGGTATTGGAAAGTAGAAGGAAAGTAAAATATGTTTTCCTCTACTATGCAAGCCCAGGAACTTGGTCATCTTTGTGATTATTCTGTTGGATTGAAGTCACTTAATGATAGAAGTATATGATGCCTATTTATGGCCATATGGGAGCATTATATTGCCTCCGGGTAGCTTATGACACTGTCAAAATGGACTACATCTATTATCTACAACTGGGGATGTTTCTAGCTAATATCTATTGAGACCCCTCTTACTCGATTCTTTCATGAGATGTTACTTCTGTTACTTTGGGTCCATTTAGCCCTGGAGAATAGTAGGGATAAAAGGATGGGAAATAAAAAAAAAGAGATAGGCTAAACTCAACGAATTAATTTTAGGTATTTTAGGACTCAAATTATTTATTTACATCTATGTATTATACCAACAACAACAACATCCAAGCCTTAGTCTCAAAAGATATTGGGGTCGGCTAACATGAATCGATACATGATATCCCCACCAAAAGGAAAAGAAAGAAAATAAAGATAAAAAAGATAAGCTATGATAAAAAGATAATATAAAAAGAGATGAATATACATAAAAATGATAAAATAAAAAGGATACAAATAATGCTTAGGGAAAACTATCAAATAAGCCCTCGTACTATACCGAAAAAGTCGATTAGGCCCTCGTACTTTACAAACACTCAATTAAGTCCTCGAACTATTAAAAAACGTTCAATTAAGCCCTTTCGATCGGTAAGTAACCGGTTTCCCGGTTAAATGTAACATGTTTCCCGGAAGCCGCCGTTGCTGGGGTTCAAGCACATCGTCACCATCGTCGTCGTTTAACCGGGAAATCGGTTATTTACCCACCAAAAGGGCTTAATTGAACGTTTTTTAATAGTTCGAAGACTTAATTGAGTGTTTGTAAAGTACGAGGGCCTAATCGACTTTTTCCGTATAGTACGGGGGCTTATTTGATAGTTTTCCCTAATGCTTATATAAATATATAAAGATAAAAACAAGGAAAAAGATGAGGGAAAAAGATGATACGAGATCACTCCTGCACACGAATACCCGCCCTCCACTTAGCTCTCTCCAAAGTCATGCCCTCATCCAACCCCTAAAGAAGCATATCATTTCGAACTCCCCTAACCACGTTTGTTTGGGTCTTCCTCTCCCTCTCTTCCCTGCCTCTTCTCCACACATCTCAACTCGTCTGACAGGTGCATCACTCGGTCTTCTACGCACATGACCAAACCACCTTAGGTGCGACTCCCGCATCTTGTCTTCAATAGGTGCTACTCCCACCATTTGTCTGATTGTCTCATTCCTCACGTGGTCCTTCCTAGTATGCCCACACATCCAACGCAGCATGCGCATCTCTGCCACACTCATCTTTTAAATGTGACATTGTTTCACCGCCCAACACTCTACGCCATACAGTAATGCAGGCCTAATTGTTGTCCTATAAAATTTACCCTTCAGTGTCACGCCCCGGACCGCATCTAGGCGCGTGTACAACCGCCGTATGACCAAGTAACGCCACTCGCAAGTCAACGTGTCTTAACCATACAAGGCGTCCATGAACATAATATATATCCATACTCAGTAGTAAACATACACAACAACATCACAGTTTAGATTAGTTGAATAGCGGAAATATTCAATAATCAATCGTGGGCCACACATGGCCAAAACGTAGGTTCGCAGGCCAAAACAATGTATTAATACAAAAGTATTCATGAGCATAGTTGTCGTTTGAAATAGTAGAGGGAGCACGAACCACGTCTTCCTCTGGATTCTCTTCACCCGTGCAAAGGTGTAGATGACAAGCCTTAACTTCAACCTGAAATGGTGGGCCCCCCGAAGGGGTCAGTACAAGTACCGAGCGAGTATCAGGCTAAATATAGAATAACTAGCGTTTCAAGTATAAGACCCAAACATAGAGTGATACTTATATAGATAGTCTTTTCCCCCAAGTTAAGAAATACTTAATAGTACATATACACTTGGAAAATACCCGATCCGTAGATCACCGTTTTATTTGGGAAAATATTAATAGTCAACATTCTTGACCAAAAACCCCAACCCACCCATATGCCTATGAGTGTATAGGACTACTCCTTGTCCATACTTATATACCATAACCTATGAGTTTTGAGGATCATAATCCGAGTGTTAAGGACTTTTCGTCCTAGGGTCCTCCATCAATATATAATCCGAGTGTTAAGGACTTTAAGTCCTAGGGTCCTCCACCAAAATATAATCCGAGTGTTAAGGACTTTAAGTCCTAGGGCCCTCCACCAAAATATGAGTGTTAAGGACTTTTAAGTCCTAGGGTCCTCCACCAAAATATGAGTGTTAAGGACTTTAAGTCCTAGGGTCCTCCACCAAAATATAATCATATGATCAACCTCCTATCAACCTAGATAGGGTCTATATCATATCTATTCATTCATAGCTAAATCAATATATAAAGCTTATGGATCACAATCCATGCAAAACCATGCATTTATATAAATTTATAATTAACTAATACCAACCGGTATTAATTAATCCATTATCCATCGGGCAACGTTTTCGTTGACCGCCATTTCAAGCCTTGTACATATCAACTTAATCATCATATATATTAAGTTAACAATATTCATTTTATTCTTCCTTTATCTTTCAAACATAGCATGCAATTTCATAGAAATTCTCATATCATATTCCATGCATATTCATGTACTTCATTTCTTACATGCCTAATCACTTTGGCTAATCACATGTTTAAATATCTTTTAAACATCATTATGAATACATATAACATTTATTTAGGTAATCTCATAATTAACCCAAAAGTTATAAGATATTAAGCCGTCCACTCACCTTAAATGAGCTTAAGCGCGTTCCATGCTCCTCGGTTGAACTCCGGCGAAACTCCGGCGAAACTCCGGCGAAACTCCGGCGAACTCTAGAAACCCTTTAGTCAAGTTCCTAACAAGGTTTTATCATCATAAACCCCATATCAATACAAATAACCTTTAAAAGGTTATTTTCCGGCGAACCGATCGTTTTGGCTTCTAAGTCCGTTCTTGTACTTAGAACCACCTTCCAACCCCTCATTCTACACTTCTAAACATGTAGAACAATCCTAAGGTCTCCTCATATGTCATATATCTCATAAGGTAGAAGAAAAATAAAGGAAAAGTTAATATAAGGTCATTACCTTAATTCTTCTCACTTTTTCTTAACTTTTCCCTTCTCAAACCTCCTTTTTTGGACCCCTATGGCTTGAGCTCGAGTTGCAGCAATGGAGAAAGGTTGGAGAGCTTTTTCTTCCTCTTTCTTGGGTGGTCTGGCCGAGCACATAGGTTGGAGGGAGAGAGGATGACTCACTTTTGTCTTAATTGACAAAATGAGTGAGGGAGGGGTCACCTATGTACTTTTGATGCCAAAGGAAAAGTCCTCCTCCACATCTTCCTTGTCATGCCAGCCCTCATATGACTTATTGAGTGCACAAAAACGTGGGGTGGCCCCCACTCATGTGGGAGGTCATCCCTTTGTGTTCTGAAGTGCACAACCGGCCCCAAAAGTTGTATTTTTCGGACTGTTTTAATCATATTTTATTTTATCGGGTCAAATAAAATATATTAAGTGCTCTTACTCATTATAACATTTATAATGAATATACATTCCTAACTTTTAATTTATAAGCCTCCGAAATTCATTTCCGGGCTGTTATCTGTTAAATTGTCGGTACTGGTATTTGGGCCTCTTTTGCCCAATCGGTCAACTCCGGGCCTTTCCACGACCCAAATAAAATATCCACCACCATATAAATATTATCTTCACCAAGATGAATAAAATATGTGGTCTCGGGAAAGTTGGGTGGTCCCCGCCCTCGATGTGGGTCCCACGTGCAATTTACTATTCACGCGAAAGAATTAATAAAAATTTACAACTTCATAAATTCATTGATCATTCCATAGTGTCTAATACAATATTACTAAGAAGTAAATATAATTCGGGGATGGTGTTACAAGTTCACCCCCCTTATTTGGGATTTCGTCCCAGAAATCCACGTGTCCAATCGAACAGAAACATGTATTGCTCCCTCATTGAGACCTCGGTCTCTCATGTTTCTTCTTCGACTCGATCACTTCTCCATATAACCTTTACTATAGGAATCTCCTTGTTCCTAAGCTTCTTCACCTGTTGACCCACTATCTTCACCGGCTCTACCGCATATTGCAAATCCTCACGAATCTCTACTGGCTGTTTCTCAAGAATATGAGATGGGTCCCGTATGTACTTCTTGAGCATTGATACATGAAACACGTCATGTATCTTCTCAAGTTCCGGCGTCAACTTGAGCTGGTAAGCCACAGCTCCAATCCTTTCAAGGATCTCAAACGGACCAATGTATCGGGGGTTAAGCTTACCCCTCGATATGAATCGGATGATGCCTTTCCAAGGAGAAATCCTTAGGAACACCTCATCACCGACTTCAAACTCCAACGGTCTACGTCGTTTATCGGCATAGCTCTTCTGCCGGTCTTGGGCAGCCTTAAGTCTATCTCGAATGATCTTCACCTTAGCCTTGGTGATCTCAACAAGTTCTATACCCTCGAGCCTGGCCTCATCAACCCCATCCCAACACAAAGGTGTCCTGCATTTCCTCCCATACAATGCCTCGTATGGAGGCATGCCAATACTTGCCTGATAACTGTTGTTATAGGCAAACTCCACTAGAGCCAAATGTTTGTCCCAACTACCTTGGAACTCCAAAGCACATGTCTTGAGCATGTCTTCCAAAATCTGTATCACTCTCTCGGATTGCCCATTCCAGGTGTTATCAAGTAAATAGAGTAAAATATCCCACCGCCCACTTGTATAAAATATCCCACCGCAGCTTCTGAAGTTTGTTTCTTATTGTATTTATTGTTTAAATGTACCGGAGTATTTATTTAAATTTTTAATTATTTAAAAGTTCAGTTTTTATTGTATCTACTACTGATGGAGTATATGGGTCTGAGCCCCAGGACCCACATACTCGGAAGAACAGAAAGCACAAGACAACAGAGTGGCGCCCTCGTCGGCCAAGACGCCCCCGTAGGCCGAAAAGGAGCCAACTCGGATTATGGTCCTGAGCCCAAGGAACCCGGGTGCCCTCGTCGGCCGCGCCCTCGTCGGCCGTGCCCTCGTCGGCCGTGCCCTCGTCGGCCACGACCTCGTCGGCCAAGAAGACCTCCCAGAATCAGATTCTATACTTACTCATTTGTACAGCCCATTAGTGGCTTTGTATTCGGCCCAGTAGCGGTCCAGTTGTAGATGGGCCTCCCAAGCCCAAGACTTGGGAGCCCAACCCTAATTTTCTCTATAAATACTCCCTTTGGGAGTAGTTATAGGGGTTACAAAATCATTCTATTGAAGCATATTATTGCACTTCTCTCTCTAGCTCTCACTTCTCTCTAGATATACTCTATCAACTACGTATTAATGCTTTTTCAGCCAGCAAACTATAAAACATCCCACCGCCCCACTTCTTAGTTGTTTTGGTATAAGATATTATGGTTGCCATTCAATATTATTACATGTATTATTATGGTTTAAACTTTAAAGTAATCATAAAACTATCATTTAGCTTATTTATTTGTTTAATATTACTTACTTTACTAGTTTACTACTTTACTTGGATCAAGATTTACAATTTAATTAGAAATCTAATAAATAACTTCATTACAGTTTGGTTATATCTTCTTTTTTTAAGTTGATTATTAATTAATTGGCTATTTTGTGTATCTAGTTTATTTAAATTCATGTAAACAAATCATTTTACTTGTGATTTTGTTTAGCTGCAATATTGTTTAACATTTAAGAAATTAATTTTGAGGCTTACGCCTCGTTACGCCTCGAGGCTTACGCCTCGAGGCTTACGCCTCGTGAGGCTACCACAGAACGCCTCGAGGCCCGATTTCGCCTTTCAAAACCTTGTTCAAAGAGGGTAAGTGATGTTAATAGGCAGGAAATGTGCACTTTTAGTAAGCCTATCAACCACCACCCATACCGCGTCGTAGTTGTTCACCGTCCGTGGTAGCCCTACCACAAAGTCCATGGTCACGTGTTTCCACTTCCATTCTGGAATGGTAAGTGGCTGCAAAAGTCCCGCCGGGTGCTGATGCTCCGCCTTAACTTGCTGACAAGTAAGGCATCGACTCACATACTCTGCGATGTCCCTCTTCATACCTGACCACCAATAACTCTCCTTTAGGTCTCGGTACATCTTTGTACCTCCTGGATGCATACCATAGGCCGAAGAATGAGCCTCCTCAAGTATGGATTTCCGGAGCTCCTCATCCCTTGGTACGCACACACGATCTTTGAACAATAAAAGACCATCGTCCCGTACCCGAAAGTTCTCAACGGGCCCTGCAAGGATCCGCTCGCGGATCTCTTGACATTCCTCATCAACGCCCTGACCTCTACTGATCCCACTCAGCAACGTAGGCCTAACCTCAAATCTAGCTATGAGCGCCCCACCCGAGGACACTCCCACTTGTGCCCGCAATGCTCGTAGACATGTGAGTAACATCCCCGACGTACTCTTCCTGCTCAGCGCATCAGCCACAACATTGGCCTTGCCGGGATGATAGTCGATGATCAAGTCATAGTCCTTGATCAACTCCATCCATCTCCTCTGCCTCATATTCAACTCTTTCTGAGTGAATACATACTTCAAGCTCTTATGATCAGTGTAGATGTGACATGTCTCCCCGTAGAGATAATGCCTCCAAATCTTTAGTGCAAACACCACCGCCCCCAACTCTAGGTCATGGGTAGGGTAGTTCACCTCGTGATTCCTCAATTGCCTAGAAGCATAGACAATCACCTTTCCCTTTTGCATTAGTACACATCCAAGCCCTTGGATGCTAGCATCGCTGTAAATATCATACCCTATCCCCTGTATGGGTAGGGCGAGGACTGGTGCTTCGGTTTCGGTAAGTCTTTTCTTTAGTTCAAGAAATCCTTTCTCACACTTGTCGTCCCATATGAACTTGGCTCCCTTCTTTGTGAGCTTTGTTAATGGAGACGCCAATACGGAGAATTTCTCCATGAATTTACGGTAGTATCCCGCTAAACCAAGGAAACTGCGTATCTCTTTCACATTCTTGGGCCTCTCCCAATCTATAATGGCTTCTATTTTGGCGTTGTCCACAGCAACGCCCGAACCGGATATGACGTGCCCGAGAAAGCCAATCTCCTTGAGCCAAAATTCACATTTAGAGCTTCTTTAACTTCCGTTGTTTGGATCCCAAAGTTCTTCGAAGTCTTTGCTCAATCACTCGCTCCCAAAGTTTCATAGCGTGACTCATAAATTTAATCCCTCGATAGTTGGCACATTCTTGTACATCACCTTTATTCTTAAATAAGGGGATAATAGTACTCTTCCTCCAACTCGTTGACATCTTGTTGTTTCTCCAAATCATGTTGAAGAAACTTGTTAACCACTCGACGCCTCTCTCTCCCAAACTTCTCCAAGCTTCGATCGGTATGCCATCATGACCCACTGCTTTCTTCCATCCCATCTTCCTCAGAGCTTCTTTAACTTCCGTTGTTTGGATCCTTCTCACAGAATCACGATTTACCATACAATCTGGTATGGACAAATCACTTATATCTTGCATTTTGTTCCCGTTGAATAGTGTATCAAAGTATGACCTCCACCTCTCTTTTATCTCTCTCTCGTCCATTAATATCCTCTGATCGACATCCTTCACACACTTATCTTTTGCAAGTCTATAATACATCTATGTATTATACCAAGACCAAGAAATTTAAATGCATAAAAATCCAAATAGCTAATCTTATTTAGTTTTCCTTGGCATTTTACTGAAGTTAAACCAAGCATCAGAAAACAAGTTCCCTTACCATTTTTTGTTTCTTTAACCCAGCATTTCCCATAATCCAAACATAGTCTTTGAGAACTTTTTTATTATTTCCATTTTCCAGTGCAGGACTGGGCTGAGATGCTTCTCAGGATGTATGTGAGATGGGGAGAGAAGCAGCGCTACAAAGCCAAAGTAGTCGAGCAGTCACCTGGAGAAGAGGCTGGGATTAAGTCTGCTACAATTGAATTTGATGGTCGATATGCATACGGTTATTTGTCTGGAGAGAAAGGAACCCACCGTATTGTACGGCAATCTCCTTTCAATTCCAAAGGGCTACGTCAGGTAAGCATGACCTGTATTTATTCTCTTTACTTTTTAAACTCAAGAGTCCCTTCCTTTCAGCATTACACCAAGTAAACATATCACTTTTTGAAACAAATTGTAAACATTCTTTCTCTCCTAAGAGTCCCTCCCTTTTTGCACTACCTTATTTTCTCTTACAATGAAGGGGATGGGCAGTGGAATGCTTTTCCTCTCTCTATCTAACTCATCTGAAAGTTTCTCTCTGCAGACAAGCTTCTCTGGTGTAGAGGTAATGCCTCTTCTCCCTGAAGACTCAACTGATGTTGAAATACCAGTTGAAGACCTGGAAATCACTTTTACCAGAGCAGGTGGGAAAGGAGGTCAAAATGTTAACAAGGTTGAAACAGCAGTCCGCATCACTCATGTCCCCACCGGTGTAACCGTCCGCTGCACAGGTTTACCGATTGCCACTATATTTACTCTTCACCATCCCGTGAATTTGTTGATGATGAAGTGAAAATTGCCTATTGATTATGCTGGAAATTAGAAGTATTGTTATATTGTAGGGGAAGGAAGGAAAGTTAAGGAAAATTCTCTTCTTCTTCTTTTCGCCTGGCCTTGAAAATTTTGGATATAAATGTATACCTCAGAGTACATATCTCAGAACTTTTTTTGCAACATTTAAACACCAAAAAGTTTAAATTCGGACACACACACACACACACATATATCTTTCTATAAGAATGTCTTGATTTTTTAAAAGAAGTAATTACCGTCAATCAAAAAACGTTTTTAAGTGAAAAAGAAAGAACAAATGTATACTACATATAACTTTTTAAAAAATACTTTTATTTTGAGACAAGGTATATATGTTCTGAATTTATATTTTCGTCATGTACTTAGTCCCAAAATAAGTTCAAGGTTATATATGTTCTGGATTTATACTTTCTTCATTACTTGTGCATTCTCCATTTCTCCCTATTTATAGATATGGTGAGCTTGTACAAGTATATATAGATTTGTTCTCTATTCCTCTATTTTCTTTCCTACCGCTTCGGGGATCCAGTGGTTATGGTTTTGGAATTTCATCTCCTTATTTTTTTGTAAGAAGGTTGCGATTGAAATGTGTTATGATAATTAATTATCTCATGCAGAGGAGAGATCGCAACTAGCAAACAAGACAAGGGCGATGCACCGATTGAAAGCGAAGCTATTAGTGATAGCAGAGGAGCAAAGAGCATCTGAAATAAAGCAAATAAGAGGGGATGCAGTGAAGGCAGAGTGGGGCCAACAAATACGGAACTACGTGTTCCATCCATACAAGTTAGTGAAAGATGTAAGGACCGGCTTTGAAACTTCAGACATAATGTCTGTAATGGATGGGGAGCTGGATCCTTTCATTAAATCCTTTCTCAAATACAAGTACACCGCATCAATGTCATCTGCTGGAGAATAATACTCTTCAAGTTTCAGTATAATCTATTGGTATATTAAAAGACTGATGGTTGCCTTTTGCTGCTGAAACCTCAGAAAAATGGACACATCTCAGCGGTCAAACTAAAATCAGAACAATTAAATTACAATGTCAAATATCATCTGTTTAGGTTTTGATTCAACAGTTGAGATGCTCAATGTATATTTGAATGTGGGAAATCTGGGGGGAGTTGAATGTCAATTATTATTTTGGTTTTCTCTTGTCTGTTTTTTGATAACCACCGTGAATCCCGTGACTAATCTCAATCCATTTTCTTTGGCCCTTTAGGCATCTGGTAACTGAGCCACATTTTTTATGATACACTGGTAATAGTTACCTTTTATCAACACAAAATCAGTTACTGTTTTATGATCCATCAATTTTGATACCACCAGAGCCGCTTGTGAGCTCCTGTTATTTCCATTATTGGTATACAGCTTTTGAAACCTTGTGTTATTAGAGATTTTTTGGGATTATTTCAAGTTTTCAACAAACTGTTTTCTTTGGGTCGGTAATAATAATAATAATCAATTAATGGATACTTGTTTGGATAGTTAATTCCGCTTGATATCATGATTCATGATAGGATAAAGTGATCGGCGAATGAATAACAAAAAAGTTAAACGCACTTTTTTGTTGCACTTTCGTAATACATTAGTGTGTTGCGTTCACTTGTTATATGATGAAAATTTTGATGAATACTGTGGTGCATTGCTTACTTTGTAGTTTGTACTAAGAAATATACGGAACAAAATAATGTATACATATTTAGAAATAATATCTAATATAACTAAATTAATGAGTGGAAAAAATATGATCTAGTATTTTTAGTGATTATAATTATATTCAAATTTTGCATGAAAGTGATATGAGTATTAAAGATGTACTCATTTTCACTTTATTCACATTTTTGTCTTTTATTTTAGTAATATTTTAGGAAAATCATTTGTGTATCTAGCATTACTCAATTAATGAGCAAAAATATTAACATGCCATTTAATGTAAAAATGAGTGATAGTGAAGACAATGTAATAACTCAATTTTCATAAATATAAGCAAATGCTTTACAAGTTACTACTTTGTCTCAAAACAAATTTTATTCTTTCCTTTTTCATCCATTTTAGTATAAATTCATTTTTTCATCTTTATAAAAAATTGTGGTTCGTTTCTCTCCCCGTTGTTAATGTTTGGTAAAATTATTTTTTGTTACTCAGTAGCTCAATAGTAGCTGAGTGAGTTAGTTGAATTGAGATATCATGTTCAATCTCCATGACAACAGTGTGAGAATTTCATCCAATTTGATGATTACTTGGTAAAGTTATAAGGGAGGAAGTATAAATTATGACAACCGGATCTATTGAATTCTGAGTATATTACGTTTAGAATGTATTCCTTCTATCTAAAAATGATTTATATTTCCAGTTCTCTTCATCAACACAATTACCTTTTCAATAATTTTGAGTATCAAACTTAGAGCCCGTTTGGTGACCTTGTTTTTCAGCTTATCAGGCTTATCAACCAGCTTTTCCACCAAATAGATAACTTTTGATTTCACGCGCTGAATTGTGTAATAAGGAGTAATAAGAAAAAGTAAGGTTGAAGTTACTTTTTGGTTGTATTGGCTGGAGTTACTGTAGAGAATCATTTTAACTATTTTTTCATATAAATTTTTCTCTATTTTATTAATAAATAGATTTTAAATATAATTTTTTCATAAATTAGTAGCATCGGCCAATTCAACCACTTCAGACAGAGCTTCATAAATTTCAGCAGAATCAACTAATACAGTGAAACGAATTTTCAAAATAGCTATGCATTCATGAATTTTAATTAGAGATTAGATAGAGATTAGAGAGAATTCCCCAAATAGGAGCAAAACATAGGCAAAATGCAAAAAATAGGAGTATCATGTTTTGAATAGGAGTAACTTTAGTGTTTGGACAAGTATACTGATGGATAAGTGTACCCGGGGGTAGTTTATCCGAGGGATTATTGCGGGGAGAGAGTAGAGAGAAGTCAGAGCAAAAGTAAGAGAGAGAATATGTATTGGTGAGAATGTATTGAGCGTATTGAGCATGGATTACAAATGGGGAAAGGGGTGCTATTTATAGTGGTAATAAATGCCAGATAGGGACATGTGTCATCATTCCGGTGGTCGAGGGGTCACCTCAACGGAGTGGCACTGACACTCGCATGTGACCGCATTAAATGCGGTGGTTGGATGTGATGTTTGTACTTGGTACGTTGATCTGGCGCATGTGGGTGGGAGATTCTGTCGAGGAGATGCCCTCGGCCGTAGATGATTGGCCGAAGGCTCTTCATACCGGGGGCCCCTAGGTGCCGAGGGCTACTGTTTCGCTGCTTTCTCCCGGACACTCTGAGTACTTTAAAGAAGTTGTATTGTGAGTTTATTAGCCTTCGGCCAGGGGGCCGAAGGCACACCAGTGTTCGTCGTGGGCTGTTTGGCACTTGGGGCGCTGTAATTTGGGCCTGCCATGCTTCCTGGGCCTGTTGGGCCTTTGCTACAGTAGTGGGAGTCTATGGGCCGGGGGTTCCTGAGCCATATACTCCATCAAGAGTCCCTCACTCCTTTTATCGAAAGGTACTTGAGGGAAAAGGAGTAATTACGGTTGTCCTCTGATGTTACCTCGTTGTAGTTTGTAAATGGGAGGTTTGCGTTTGCACATGATTCTGCCGGGGGGGGGGGGGGGGGGGGGCTTCAGTTCCCATATTTTTGGACTGAAGGGTCATGTTGCTGCTTTGGGGAGATTTTTGACATTTTGCATTTTTGTGATTTTTCCCGAAGGGGTCCTCCAGTCCCCCACTCCTTGAGGCACATGTAATGTGGTGAAGAGGAGTATAATAGTTCCCGTTGTCGCATAGGGCCAAAGGTTGACACTTTTCGTTTCATTTTGGGGGGATGCCTCGTTAAAAACCTCATTAGGAAAAACCCTGTGGGAAAAAATCCTAATGAGGGAAAAATAGTGCACCGAATTCCCCCAATGATGACTCGAAAAGGTGGAACCTTGGTCTGAGATGAAGGACAAAGTTTATGCCGAAGGCTACCCTTGATATGAGGGCGCGTGGTTTGACTTACCGAAGGCGCTTTGTAAATATCCCTGGAGATGCCGAAGGGGAGTCCCTCAATCCATGGGGTTGAGGGCGTGATGAATGTAAGTGGTAGTTGCTGTGTTGCCGAGGGGGTCCTCTGGCTAATGACAAGCTGGGGATGAGGGCACCCGAGGGTCCCGTTGTTGTATGTTGAAGGTTGTCCACCTAAGAGGGGTGTTAAATTCAATGTTCCCGAAGGGTCTCCTTGTTGCGTGGCCGGGGGGACAGTTAATGAAGGTTCCCGGGGGCTTTACCCGTTGTTAAGCCATGGGCTCTTGATTGAGAAAGCCCGAAGGCACTTGTGATGTTGTATGAGGGGTACCGGCCGGGAGCACCTTCAACTTTTCAAAATATAGACGTTGAGATATGACCGTTGGAAGTGGAGTCCACGTGGCGTGTGCTCGTTGGCTCCCGGCGGGCGGGCATCACTGGTTGGTCGAACCGACGGTGTGTAATGATGATTTTCGTAACCGGAGGCCCGGTTTTGGGCCCAAGCCCGGATCTGGGTGCCTATAAATACCCCAAGGCCAAGGCCATTATACTTGTGCGATCATACTGTAGCGAAGCTCTGGCCAAATATTTCTAGAGAGAGAAAGTTCCCTTTGGTCAAACTACCAGCTTTCAAGGTCAGTCTTTGATCCATTCTCTGCTGCCTTCAGCATACTTTGCTTTCCTTTTCTTTTTGGTGAGTTCAGTCTTTCGTAGCCTTAGGCTAAGCGATATAGTTCCTTAGGTAGCCCCCTGTTGTAGAAACCCTCGTACCCTAGTCTTCGAGGATGTCTTCGCAAAGCGACTCACAAAACATCTCGAGGGAGCCTTCGATGGAGGAGGAGAGCATTCGTGATGTGGATTCCTCGAGCGAGCAGCTCTCGGCCGGAGATGACATGGAGGTCGTAGTCGAAATCCAGAGCCAGCTCATCGCTGAGGCCGAAGCGGAGGAGTTCGAGCAGGTCATAGAGGATGAGGAGATGGCCCTCGCTATGCAGACGGCTATTGATGAGGAGGAGAAGGAGAGCCGTCAGGTCACTATTGCTGTAATGCCTCCTCGCAATGCTGGTGAAGCCAGCACCTCTCGACCCTTGAACCCGACACCTCTCCGGGTGGCCCCCAGGAAGAAGAAGGTGAAGGCTGCCGCTCCCAAGAAGAAAGGTAGCGTTGCTGACCAAGGGAAACCCGTCGATATGCCCGAGGGTTATTCCTTCCTTAATACCGCCGCCCTCGAGATAAAGTCGAAGGCTGATGGGTCGGATTACTATGTCACTCAGCTGCACATTGGGCCCTCGGCTACTGTGGTGTCACCGGGACCTGATGACGTCCTCTCCCGTGCTCCCGAGGGATGTATTGCTGTTCACATCCTGTCAGTGTCCATGGGCCTTCGGTTTCCGCTGCACCCATTCCTTCGGGAATATCTCAGGTATGTGGGCCTGGTCCCTTGCCAACTAACGCCCAACAGCCACTCGTATATTACTGGGTTCCTTCACCTGTGCAAATCCCGGGGGGTGACACCTAGCTTAGACCTGTTTTTCCAAAGCTTCAACCTTTGCCGGGGAGGTCATGCAAACGCCGAGGGGTTCACCAACTTGCAGCAGATCACTCAGTTCAGGTTGTTCACCGAGGCGCCCTCCTCAAACAAAGGCTGGAAGGAGCGGTGGTGCTATGTCAGGTTGAACGAGAGCCCATTCCCGAGAGAGTTGTGGGACCGTTTCAGGCGCCATGAGAAGACAAGAAGCGCCACCCTCGAGAAAGATGGCCTTGTACTCGCCAAGATCCCGGAGGGGCGAAACAAGAACATAACCATCAAAGAATGCACCCTGGAGAGTGATCTATACGCCCTCGGCTTCCGGCGGTATCGTTTCCTGGGGGAAACAGATGAGAGGTTCATCGTCCTGGACAGCGCCATCAGAGGAACTGGAGGTAGCTTCCGAGGGCCTCGCATTTCGTACTTAGGATTTTTTTGCATTTTTTGATGTTATTCCGTTTCTCATGCTTGACCCCTCGACCTTACCTTCCTGTGTTGCCTTGCAGGTATTCCAGTGTCGAAGATGAATGTCAAGGGCTTTATCGGGCTGAAGAAGAAATCGGCCAAAGAGCCGAAGAAGAAGGAAGCGGATCTCCAGAAGACCGTTGGTGAGACCTTGCCGAGGGGTGCGGGGCCCTCGGGTTTTCCTGCTAATGAGGTCGCCGGTGCTGCCAAGAGGAAAGCAGCTGGCAAGGACACCGCCCCTTTCGACAAGAAGGCGAAGAAGCAGGAGCCCAGGACGAAGGCTCCCCCGGTCTTGATAGTCGATGACCAGCCGACTTCTGAGCCCTCGGTCGTGGCGGCCTCACCTTCTGAAGCTCCATCGAGAGTCTCCCCCTGGAAGTTGTCGACCCGAAGGCGTTCTTGAGGAGCATCGCTACGGGGATGGACAGGTCAGCCCTCGACGCTTATGACGACGACGCCCTCGAAGACAAGATCCTCCGGTCTTCCTTGACTGTAAGTACTTCTTCCTCTGCCCCTTCCCTTCTTCCTTAGATTATCTTTGCATGGTTGCTCTAACTGTTTTCATTGTTGGTTTGCAGGCTTGCATTGCCCTCGGGGAGCAGTCCTGGAGGTTGGAGGAGTGGCGCCTTCATAAGGCCAAGCAGGATGAGAAGATGAAGCAGCTGATCCATCAGAACTCTGATGCTGTAAGGCAGATGGCCCAGCTGGAGGAGAGCCTTCGGCAAATGAAGCTGCAACTTGAGGCAGCTAACCAGGGCAAGGCCGAAGCCGAGAGGTCTGCTGCTGAAGCCATCAAGAAAGCTGCCGAGGAGGCGGAGGCCGCCAAGGCGGAGGCCGTTGCCAAGGCGCGGGAGGATGCCCTCGGTGAGTTTCTGGAGTAGGGGTGGAAGGCGGAGGGACGCAAGCAGTGGCTGTCCTCGGTTGTGGAAGCGTCCGTTGAAGAATGGTGTGAGGGCCCCGGTGTGGAGCGGTTGGCCCGAAAGGGCAAAGAATATTATGAAGGGGGCGAGTTCTTTACTCAAGCCCTCATCTACCGGAGGATGGCCCGACACCTGAAGATGGAGCCAAAAGATTTCGATCCGGCAGCATACGACCTTCCTCCCCTGCAGCCTGATGTTCGCGTGCGCCTTCCCCCAGACGTTGAGAGGCCAGATCTGGAGGATTCAGAACTCATGAGGGATGCCGAGGGCGAAGAGGAGGCCGGAGGGGAAGTAACATCGAAGCCTGCGGTAGAGGATGCCCCCGGAACCATCGATGTTTAATTTGTACTTAGAAGTTTTTTGTAACAAACATTTGTATGCTTCCGGCTTCGGCCATGACTGTAAACAATTTTTTATTCCCTGCTGATGGATGAATGCATGCCTTCGGGCCTTTTATATATAAGTTGCTTTTTCCTTTGAATGTATGCTTTCGTCTTTTCTTTATGAAATGAATGCCTTCGTACTCTGATGTTTTAGTTGTCAGTTGTTTAGGACATAGAAAAATTTTCTTAGTGTTGTTCTTCCACCAAGCCTTCGGTTGTGTGGCCCCTGTGGCTGCATGGAGATTTGACCGAGGGCCAAATATTTAGGACTTAGAATATTTTTCTAAGTGTAGTTCTTCCACCGGGCCTTCAGTTGTGTGGCCCCTTTGGCTGCATGGAGATTTGACCGAGGGCCAAATATTTAGGACTTAGAAAATTTTTCTAAGCGTTGCTTGTCACTTGGTCTTCGGTCTACGCCTTCCCTTAGTTGCATTGAATGGCTTGGCCTTCGTTGCATGATGGGTTGGCTGAGGGCCAACCATTTAGGACTTAGAATTTTCGCCATAATTCATGATTTGCCCCTTGGTGAAGGATGGTGGTCCCGGAGGCACCTATCTTTGTCGACTCAAGATAATTTCCTTTGGCTTGTAAGACTGGCCTCCGGTAATGTGTAGTAGATGCCTTTGCTAATAGTAGCCTTCGGTGTTGGTGATGCGGGAGGTAGCCATAAAGTGGGCTTAGACGTTCCTTGATGGTATTCGTCTAATAGTAGCCTTCGGGGATTAGTAGTTTACAGGTGTCGGGGGTGTTCCCATGGGGAGCCCTCGGTATGATCTTCTTGTGATGCCGAAGGGCTTCCTGTTGTGATTTGTTGAAGTTGTGTACTCATCGATTTCTCGCTGAGTCTACTCCCCTTCACCCCATTTTTTTTGGTAATGAAGGGAAGGCTTCAAGAAACTTGGTTTCTTGGTAAGGCTTGGCCTATCGGGAGGCAACAACATACACCATTAGCTCCCCCCTCGGGTTAACCTTCCGAGTTCCGAGGGGATCGAGGGTCGTTTCCTGGGCATGAGACACAGTCTGTAGCCTGCCTCCCCTTGGGGGATGGCACGGAAAGCGCCTCAGTTTTGAAAGTCGTTCCCTAGGCACGAGACATAGTAATGGCGCGGGAAGCGTTTCGTTTTTGAAAGTCGAATTCTGGGCATATTAGCTGCCTGCCATACCCTTGGGGTAGTGGCGCGGAAAGCGTTTCGTTTTTGAAAGTCGAATTCTGGGCATATTAGTTGCCTGCCATACCCTTGGGGTAGTGGCGCGGAAAGCGTTTCGTTTTTGAAAGTCGAATCCTGGGCATATTAGTTGCCTGCCATACCCTTGGGGTAGTGGCGCAGAAAGCGTTTCGTTTTTGAAAGTCGAATCCTGGGCATATTAGTTGCCTGCCATACCCTTGGGGTAATGGCGCGGAAAGCGTTTCAAGGAAGGGTTTTCATTTGCACACTGGTTGCAAATGGCCGGGGGCACTACGTGCCGCCGACACCGATAGGTGGCGCCTTCGGTATGAATGCGTCCTCGAGGGGTACGGCTTCAGAAACAACACTTGATGTTTGTTTCAGCCCCCCGGTACTTGGTACCGAGGGATCTTCAAAAGGAAACACTTGGTGTTTTCCGCTGTCTGGAATTGATAGGAGTACGTACCCTCGGCATTTGGTACCGAGGGGTCTTCTTAAAAACACTTGGTGTTCCCTTATTTGTCGTAGGCACTTTGTGCCGAGGGGTCTTGTAATAAGGCCTTGGCCCATGAGTCTGCATGAGGGCTTGACCGCTCATATGTGTCTTGGTTCTCGTTCTTGGTGTCTTCAGAGCAAAAGTAAGAGAGAGAATATGTATTGCTGAGAATGTATTGAGCGTATTGAGCATGAATTACAAATGGGGAAAGAGGTGCTATTTATAGTGGTACTAAATGCCAAATAGGGACACGTGTCATCATTCTGGTGATCGAGGGGTTACCTCAACGGGGTGGCACTGGCACTCGCATGTGGCCGCATTAAATGCGGTGGTTGGATGTGACGTTTGTACTTGGTACGTTGATCCGGCACATGTGGGTGGGAGATTCTGTCGAGGAGATGCCCTCGGCCGTAGATGATTGGCCGAAAGCTCTTCATACCGGGGCCCCCTAGGTGCCGAAGGCTCTAGGTGCCGAGGGCTACTGTTTCACTGCTTTCTCCCGGACACTCTGAGTACTTTAAAGAAGTTGTATTGTGAGTTTATTAGCCTTCGGCCAGGGGGCCGAAGGCACACCAGTGTTCGTCGTGGGCTGTTTGGCACCTGGGGCGCTGTAATTTGGGCCTGCCATGCTTCCTGGGCCTGTTGGGCCTTTGCTACGGTAGTGGGAGCCTATGGGCTGGGGGTTCCTGGGCCATATACTCCATCATATACCCTAACCAAGTCCTAAGCTCAACAACTTTTAATTAAATGTTTAATTCATAATAAATTCGGGAAAAAATCAAAAATTCGTAGAAAAATAATTAAAAAATTTATAAAATATTAATAAAATAAAAAAATTTATTTTTTTGTATTTTTTTAGTTTTTAAAAAATTAATAAAAAACAGTAAAACTCCATAAAAAAAATTAAAAAAAAATATGGATGTCATTCCCACCGCCTGTACAACCTTCCTACACCACCACCTTCGGGCGGTGGAAAAAAATTATATTTTTCCTAAAAATTGTCATTTTTTTCTGAAAATGCCAAAAACATGGCATATTTCTTTTTGCGAATGCCAACATTTTCATTATTTTCTGTCATAAATATGACATTCGTAATGAACTTGACATTTTTTCCCCTGATGATTGGAGGTGGTGGTGCAGAGGCGGTGAATTTTATTTTATTTTTTTGAGTTTTTTATTTTTTATTTTTTTTTATATTTTATTATTTTTTGAAAAATAAATAAATTATTATTATCCAATAAGTTATAAATCAACTAGGTTAAGATTAAATAAGTCATATTTTAAAATTAACTAGGTTAGGGATTTTAAGGGTACAAAATTAATGTTTACTTAAATCAAAGTTTTAAGTTTTACTCTTATTTGTGCAATTATGTTTATGTTTACTCCCATATTGGAAAATTTCTATAGAGATTATTCTTGGAACAAAACATGTTAGAAATGCAGAAATCAAAGTGAATGTAAAATTTCTTAAATGGGGTCATATTCATGCTTGGGTAGGAATACCGGTGGGGCCAACCACTACACTGCCGCCGGAACTCTGCCTTTGGTCGTCACCTCCGTTTGAACTCCCGCCGCCAGAATCCCGCCATCGGTCGACGGTACTCCACCAGCGCCGCTTCGTGCATCAAGCCAGGATTTTTTGGAGATGAACCAACAACTTGCATCAACCACATCATAGAGAGGAGCAGTCACAAACCCTCAATATGGAGGTATCAAATCTCTTGCTAACATCCATGTGCCAATATGCTTAGATTTGTGCCTTTATTCGTAGAGTTGAACCTATTTTTGGCATTATTAATTGACAGATATATCATTCAGGTGTTGATTTCTTGAGTTGGTTTCATATTTATATTGTGAATAAAACACATCTTTTACTTTTATTGGCTGAAAACGTTTATGCAAATTTGAAATCTTAGGATTATAATGACTAATGAATAAGCATAGAAAGTACTTCTGGTTCGGTTTTTCGAGTGTATTATCATATCAGTACGTCACGACTATATTAGTATGACTTGTCTTTTCACAAAATGTTGATAAATCACTAAAGCCCGCACACTAATCATTCTAGGCTATTTAATTGAATCTTCAAAGTTCAAACAACCAACAAAAACAACCCAGGTTTATTTTGGCTTGATGGCTACAAGGAAGATAAATAGTATACCCATCAACTCTAAGGAAACTGTAAGCTGAATTGTTAAATGCAACCATTTGGAGAATTTCATTAAAAAAATCCGTAGTAATTTACAAACTGGCTTACTGGCCATTCATTGCAGTTTGTACAAAAATAATTTTGTAATTTATTATGCTTTTAATTTCATTCTTCTTGCAGTAATTGATGACTTGATGGTAATTATATTTGCCTTGAAGTTTTTTAAATAATCTAGTCTTTTTTCTCTTGCTTGTTTTATTGTTGTCACTTGTATTCATATTTCTATAATTCTATGGAATATAGTCTGTTACATCAATAACAATGCTGATGGAATTTGAAATTTTGAATATGTTCTAATGACTATTGCAGTAGCCACAGTCTAATAGTCAATGCCTGGTGTATTGCCAATTGCGTACTGATGGCCACGGACTCACGAAAACTCTCCTCTTTTGTGTTTTGGGCCTTTGACTTTAAAAATTTATATGTGATATCAGTCTGATATGATATTTATGATGCCAAATGCTGGTTGGTTCATTTGGTTGATTCTAATTGATATTTTAATTGGATGTTTTATCGTATGTTGTTCCTGTGTTATCTGATGGTGCCACCCTTGATTCTTTATAACGATATCCTATTTTTTAAATATCAATTGCATATTTATTGGTTAGTAACTATCTTTGGCAAAGTTGCTCTTGTTTTGTTCTTGTTGTTAGTTGTTAATCCGTTTGGTGCCTGGCTGAAGTCACTTTCTCTTTAAAATGTTCTTGTATGCTGCAGGTCTCTTCATTGGAGCTCTCTGCAGAGATTAAAGAAAGCAAAGGTAATTGTTTGTTGTGTGTGATTGCGGGGCTGGGGGTACGATTCGCAATAGATTAACGGCATTTGTTTGTGTAGTTGTTTTGGAAAAATGTCCAGGGTTTTATGTGAGATGTTCAAATGCATCAAGTTCCTCCATGAATTAAACATAGGGATTGTTTAGATGGAGGGGAAGGCGTTGGAGGGCTTACATCTATATCTTGAATCTTGATAGATACGTAGTACTCCGTAGTATTTAAGATTTCATAAAATCTTAAATGTTAATATAATAGGTGATCATATTAAATTTCAATCATCTTTATTCGTTTTTAAGGATTATATTTATTCAGATATAGACTGAAAATTTGTTTAAATTAGTGGAATGAAGGGTTTTTGTTTTTTGAGGATTTGGAGGACATGGCATGCCTTAGTCTATATCTTCATATGTACGTTTGGGATTTAATAAAAAAATTAAAAGATGAACTAAGTGGGCCTGATTGCAAAATCGAAAATATTCTAGGCTATTTAATTGAAGAGAAAAGGGGCAAATAAGCCCTCGAACTATTTGCGATTTGGCAATCAGGCCCATGAACCGGAAGATTTGCATATACACCCCTCAACTCCTTGAAATATTATCCTAATCTCCTTCAATCACCATTATTTGTTATCAGAAATATTCTGCTTATTAAAAGGTTGACTAAGCCTCCATTAAAAAACCTTCATCCCAACAAACTCCTAGAGAATTAACGTTGTACTTACATTTGGATTTGTGTGGATGTACATTGTCTTGTCTTAGTGTTTACATTAGCACTATGAATCTGATAGTTCAGTTGGGAGTGGGGATGTGTGGTTAAAAAACAATAGTTTCCTTTGAAGATAATCTTGCATCATGTGTGCACATTATATGGACATCTAAACACTAAGACATACATATAAGCACATATAAAATTGTAAACAATACTTAATTTTGTGCTTTAAAAATAATAATCAGATGATACAGAGAGAAAGGACACTAGTAATGCACCTGAGTATCAGAGTAGCAGTGTGAAGAAGGCAAGGCTTCATTTAACTCTGGGTGCTCTCCTTAATGATCCGATACTAGCTGATGTGCCCAAAAACCCATCATTCTCTGATGTAGATACCCTCATAAGCTTGGAACTTGGCAGTGCCATGCGGATTACCATCCTTAAATTGGACAACACCTCTGTTGGTAAATGAGATTACTCCACTGTCCATCTTTATCCAGTGATATGCTGATATGCACTGAATGCAAATAATAGGGTTATGAATAGTTTCTTGTGTGGTTTTTCGTAGATGTGGCTGTCCTGAATTCTGCAACAGTTAAGGACTTGAAACAAGCAGTTAGAAAGAAGATTGAAGAGATGGAGGATTCCAACATGGGTCATCGCCACATTTCTTGGTATGTAGTTTAGAATTTGTATTGTACGATCACATCATTTCCTGCCTCTAGCTTATTTCTTCTGAGATAGAGCCATCCTAAAATGCTGTATATTTTTGTATTTGGGCGTAACTTCTAGGTTTGAACAACTTGACTCATTTAGATTGTTTTTGCAACTTGGAACACTTTTTAACTTGTGAATTGTATCAGTTTTATATAAAGAGAAAACTATCAGATAGGCCCCTGTACTATAGCAAAAACATCAATTAAGCCCTCGTACTTAAAAAACTCAATTGAACCCTCGAACTTTTAAAAAACACTTAATTGGGCGTTTTATCAGGTAAAGGTCCGGTTTCCCGGTTAACAATTCCGCATGGCGCCTGCGTGTCATTTTTTTCTTTTCCTTTTTCTTTTATCCTTTCTTTTTCTATTTCTCTTTTCTTTTTTTCCTTTTCTTTACCTATTTCTTTCTTCTCCTCTATGCTCATACACATGGATATTGTTCCAGCCGTGCACCCTCCCTCCGCCGGCCACTCCAGCTTCGAGCGACGAAGACCACTCCACATGCTCTGAGCGACGAAGATCACGCCGTACTTCCAGTGGGTCTTCCATGATGATCTTATTAGACCCACTTCACATGCTCAAAAACTGGACCAAATCCTCTTCCCCCAACCTTGGACGTTGATAGGAATATGGCTCAGTAGGCTATTAATAAGAAATAATAATAATAATAGTAAAGGTACTGGTAGTAGTATTGTTAGAAGGGAGTAATAAGGGGTTTGGGGGGTAAAATTAGCTAAGGAGTTCAGTTTGGTCCCTGCGTGGACTTTTATTATAAATAGAAGTGGGGTAGCTAATTAGAGGAGGCTGTTATTGGATATTAAGTTGTTGCCTTGGAGAGTGGTCTTCTCGAATAGACTGGTTGCCTTGTTACCTACTGTTTACCTTTTACTATCAATACATATTTTATCCTCTCTTTTGATCAGATCTGAGCCATTATTGATAGCTTTAGATTTCTCTTTTGCTTGTACCTATCAATGGTATCAGAGCAGTTCTCCTAGGATCAAATTGAAGTGCCGACTTATCATCTGAATCGATCGAGAATATTAACTACCTGGAGAAATGGAAAAGAGGATGGATTCGCTGGAGAGGATCCTTACCGACTTGAAAACGATGGCTGATAACATCGCAGCGATGAACAAACACAACCAGACTAGAAGACGATCATGGTCGCCAACAACCCCTTCTCACCCTGTCACGAACTGTTTCTCACGGTTCATCATTGCAAGTCATTCCTCACAGTAGTCCGCAGAAGTATTTGCAGTCGCAGACGCGTACAGTGTCTACAAATTCATCTCATTGTTCGAAAACGCGAACTTCATCTCATTGTTCGCAAACGCGAACTTCATCTCACTGTTCGCAAACGCGAACTTCGTCTCACAGTTCTCAGTCGCGAACACGAACAGTAGCTTCCAGTTCTCAGATGGCGTCTCAGTCGCGTACAGGTTCTCATAGGCCGCAGAGTTCGACGCTCACATATCATTCCAGTTCGCAGGGGTTTCTGCTAGCATCTTCTTCTAATTCGTCATATTTGCGACAATCTGAAGTCTCCAGTTCGCAGTCGCGAACGGCTGTTCCCAGTTTGCCATCGCAAACTGTTTCTCTCGGTTCACAGCTTTCATCTCAGGCTTTCTCACCAGGGACTGCATCGCTGAAAATGAACGCTGAGTTGAAACCGGTTGAACCATCTATCAAGGAACCAGATCCAGATGATGATACAGCTCAAACTACAAGATATCAGTCAAATCATGTTGAAGGTTTGAACCCTCCTGAGGAGGATCAAAATGGAATTCGTGTGGGTAAAGTGAAGGATCAACTGTCAAGGCAACAGGAGGAGAAGGTAAAAGTCACATATAAAACAGAGAGGAGGATTCAAGCACTGGGGTGGAAATCAAATATCACTGTGATGAATGTTAGGCCTGATGTTTTTGGATCTCCTATTGGGCCCAATTCCATAATGGATCAGTCACAACCTTTTCTAGTGGGTGCAGGAATTGGTGCATTCTCACCTGAAGTTGTGTTGCTGAAACTGGGGCAAGCTGTTTCTGGAGCTCCTAGTGGTGAAGATTCCAATCCACAAGGCATACAGCTTCTTACTTCACCCAACGATGATGTTCGTGAGCAGGCTGTCAGGGCTTTGGGCAATATTGCTGGTGATGTTCCAACCTGTAGAGATCTTATTTTGGGTCAAATTGAAGCTGATGGGGAGATACTTTATCACACAGTATACAATGGCAGAGATCGAATGACTGACCACAACAAGGATTTCAAAGTTGAAACTCCTGCCGGGGATTCATCACTTTATACCCGACCTGATAAGCCTAAACATGATGTCTGGAAGGCACTCAAATTATTCATTGATGCAGGAGCCGGGCCTGCGGGAAGACTCACTTACAGAGGTGAATTGGTAGACTTGACCAGACAGTCATTGTCTAAGCTTGCAAATCCGATTTACATTAATGCAATTGTTGGAGACACTCATCCCTGTCCGCAGGATTCTGATATACTGAAGCTCGTTGCTGATAGACTAAGAGATACATCTTTACTGATGACAAGGTGTACATTGGAGAGGCTAAAGGAAGTACACAGTGTGGATGGAAGTATCTCAATACTTGATATGGAAATTGTTTCTGACCTTGCTATTGAGATGACAAAGGGATTCCCATTTGATCCTTTTGTTCTTCCAAGGGATGTTGTTGTGTGTAGCCAAAATGCGGCAGAAGACGGCATTCTTTCACTGGACAGCATCATTGTTGTTATGGAGGCAAACCTGGGAAGTAGCTTGGATAAAATTCTAACAGCAGTTACTGAACCAAACCAACCAGCAATGGAAAAATGGGCTGAGCAGAATGACATAGGTGGAGAAGTTGATGCCCTAGGTGGGAGTCCAAAGGTGAAGGAAGCAATGATGAAGATCCATGCACAGAAGCTAAAAGCCCAAAAATCAGTAAAGTACTGGGAAGGGAGAGGTGCAAGAATGAAGCGGAAGGGGAAGATTATGGCTGATTCCTATCACCCACCTTGAGGACAAGGTGGTTGTTCAGGGGGGAGTATTGATAGGAATATGGCTTAGTAGGCTATTAATAAGAAATAATAATAATAATAATAATAATAATAGTAAAGGTACTGGTAGTAGTTTTATTAGAAGGGAGTAATAAGGGGTTTTGGGGGTAAAATTAGCTAAGGAGTTCAGTTTGGTCCCTGCGTGAACTTTTATTATAAATAGAAGTGGGGGTAGCTAATTAGAGGATGCTGTTATTGGATATTAAGTCGTTGCCTTGGAGAGTGGTCTTCTCGAATAGACTGGTTGCCTTGTTACCTACTGTTTACCTTCTACTATCAATACATATTTTATCCTCTCTTTTGATCAGATCTGAGCCATTATTGATAGCTTTAGATCTCTCTTTTGCTTGTACCTATCAGAAGTCTGGAACGACCTCACCTCCAACCTCCATGGCACCACCTGTAAATGGCCGGATCTATAGGCTCCATCTCTTCTTACCTCTCCAATAGCACCAATCTTTATGCCTTGGGCCTCTCCTCCAATCCCCTCGCCGGTCCCATCTCGTCGGAGCTGGGTTTCGCCTGGAATTCCTCCCCACTGGTATGAACGGGATCTGTGCGGCCGGCGGAGAGAGTCCAATAGCACTCTCTTTGGTTCAAACACGGGCTGTCCATCCCCAGAATATGGTGGTAGCGTAGGTCTGGTTGCAGCTAAGTCGCCTATCCTTTTTTTGAGTAAGGAAACATGAAACACCGGGTGTACTCGTGAATTCTCAGGTAAGTCAAGTTTGTAAGCTACTTCTCCAAGCTTTTCCGGTATCTTAAAAGGCCCATAAAATTTACAAGCTAAATTTTGAGATACCCTGCGAGAGATCGACTGCTGGCGGAAAGGTTGAAGCTTGAGATACACATAATCACTCACCTCATAATGGACCTCTCTCCTTTTTATCAGCCATCTGCTTCATTACTGATCTCTGATACCAATTGATGAAGCTGCCTTGCTTACGGTGCAAAGAAACCGGTTCTATCTCACGGTGATATAAGACCAAATTTAATTATAAAGCTCTCAATAATGTTTATTGATAAAGAAGACGTATGTATTTATACCCCTAAACATACGTAATAACATAGGCATGTGAATCCAAAACAAATACTAATCCTACTGGATAGGAATAAACATTATACTCCAACTCTACTAGCTAAATAAATATTAATACGGAAACAGAAAGTTTAAAAATAATCTGGCAGCACTCCTACTTCTAATTTACCACATAGTCTTGAAGCCTCGTTGAGCTCTTCCTAGCCCGTTTACTTTGTCGGTGATTAAACCCGTCTTCATCACATGGATGGCGGGTTGTCAGTGATGAAGGTCAACGGCGTGGGTGACTCCGGGTGAGCGTAGAGGAGAAGAAAGAAAGAGGGAAAGAAAAGAGAAAAAGAAAGGGGAAAAGGAAAAAATAAAAGAAAAATGCCACGTGGGCGCCATGCGGGCGCCATGCGGGCACCATGCGGGCGCCACACAAGTGCCACACTGGCTGGTAACCGGAAACCGGACTTCAACCGGGGTAAAATGCTCAATTGAGTGTTTTTTAAAAGTTCGGGTGTTCAATTGAGTCTTTTTTAAGTACGAGGGCTTAATTGATGTTTTCTCTTATATAAAAGAAATACACAAAGAAATTGTTTCTACAAATATCCAAAACGATAAATTGATTTTGAACCATTTTTTGTATTTACTCATATGGTTTGCTTTTGAATTTCTTCTCATCCTTTTTTTCTGCATGAATATATTGTCTTAATTAGCACTAAACATAATGCCACCAACCCTAATTAGTTGTGTTTAAGGTCTTGATGTTGATGATGATGATATTCCAAGTTCCAAAAGAAACCCTATTGTCATTGTTTATGGAAGTGCCTTTCTGTTGACGTTTCTCTTGTGGATTCAGCAACTAGCTTATATTTCAAATGATGATCACATTCATTAACCCTTCACAAGTATATGGCCTTTTACTTGATAGAGGTTTGCTGCTCTTCACATACAGGAAACATGTTTGGGACAATTTCTGCTTATCATATAATAATGAGAAGCTTCTCGATGATGGGGCTAAACTTCAGGATTATGGCATACGAACCAACTGCGTGGTATTTTACTGAAGCACTCACTAATCATTGTGCACACTCCACCCTCTCCCGTCATAAATTATATCAACAAACAAAACTTTGCATCTAATGAAAATAACAACAATAACAAAGCATCTTATTGAATAATGAATTATTTTTATTCATCTTTTGCATTATTGGTCTGCATAATCAGCCATTTTCTGTAACACAAAGGATGATTTACAGGTACAATTCACTCCCTATGTTATGTCAAGAGCCTCACAACGACATTCCAGGAGTAGAAAACACCGCTTCTTTCACGGTCTTAACAAAACTGGATGAACTTTGTAATTTGTATCATTTCATCATAGAGTTAGCCCACTTTATGGAAACAAACATTGCTGTAAAGGTACAATGTATTGCCTTTTTGTAAGATTGGGGAAGAATTATAATAGAAATTGTAAATCGGGAAGACCAATGCCATCAATTAAAGATTAAATATTGAACCCCATTTATAAAACATAAAAAAATTGACTTGACCAACGTTGGCTCTGCCAGTTGACGCCGCGTTAGGATGTTTGTATTTGGAATGTTTTCAGTTCCAAACCATACTTGGACAATTATAAAATACACAGAGATCAGACATCTATTAGGTCAGATCAATTCAAACCAGAACAAACCATACCAGATCTGAAAATTGCAGTCCAATTAAACACATCCTTAGACATTATGAGTCAAATGGTCATTGAATCATAGTATCATACAAACTTTGAAATAACTCACTCAGATTATTAATCATTCGAATAAATGATGCAATTGAATCCTACACAATGTAAATTGTTGGTCTTAGAATTGCTAAATAGCAAACATTATTCATCTTCTAAAGTACAAGAAGAAATATTCACTTTCCATGAGGCCTTAGAAATATAATAATAGACATGCCAGTTATTTCATAAAGTTTACTCCTTAGCATCAACAACAACAACATTCAAGTCTTAATCCCAAAAGAATTTGGGGTCAGCTAACATGAATCAATCTATGATATCGATGTCAAACAGAGAGACAGACAAGGATGGGGAAAAGAAGTAAGATAAAATGGATAAAATAAAGATAAATAAATATAAGATAACAATAACATAAGAATATAAGAAAGATAAAAGATAGAAAAATAAAAGAGTATAAAAGCTAGAAGATAAAAATAACATAAGAATATAAAGGATAAAGAAGATAAACAATAAAAAGAGAGAGAGGAAATGTAGAAAAGACATCAATCGTCCACACGGTTGTGCGCCATCCACTTTACTTTCTCCAAAACCATACTCTCATCCAACCCAAGAAGACGCATATCAGTTCTGATTCCTCTCATCCAAGTCTGTTTTGGTCTTCCTCTCTCTCTCTCTTCTCTGTCTCTTCTCCCCACCCCTCAAGTCGTCTAACATGTGCATCACTCGGTCTTCTACGCGCCTGCCCAAACCACCGCAAACGAGACTCTCACATCTTGTCTTCTATAGGTGTTACTCCCACCTTTTGTCTGATTATCTCATTCTTGAAGCGGTCTTTTCTGTTATGTCCACACATCCAACGCAACATACGCATCTTTGCCACACTCATGTTTTGAATGTGCATTGTTTCACCGCTCAACACTCTACGCCATACATTAATGCAGCTCTTATTGCTGTTCAATAAAATTTACCTTTCAGTCTAGTCGACATACCTCGATCGCATAGAAATCATGATGCACTCTTCCATTTCATCCACCCAACTCTGATTCTATGACATACATCTTCATCTAATTCACCATCCTTCTGAATTGTGGAGCCCAAATAACGGAACATATCACACACTGGTATCTCCTTACCATCAAGAGTAATTCCACTGTTGCTACTATCATGTCATGTGATGTGACTAAGTGATACTGTTGACCGTCACACGCCTACCACAACACCCTCCTTCTTTATCCTGACTTGAGACAAGCATTGATACCAAAAAATGATCTCATGGCAGTGTTAAAGTTTACTCCTTAGCAATAATAATAAAATCGAGACTTGTCTATACTAAGGATAAAAATAAAGTTATCTCAATTTTTCAATACAATGTGACACGTGAGAACTTATCTACCAAAATGCGGGCCATTTAAGTAATTATGGTTTGATAGAAATCTCCTCATGCTATCTATTTTCTTGTTACATAAAATGTTGCATTTGCAAAGCTTCTAGCAAAATTTATTCATTTAAGGCCCCACCACCCGACCAATCAAGTCTATATGACTTGTTACTACTAGACAGTTCTCATCAAAAGTATTTGATGGGTATTGCATATTTGTCGAGATCAATGAAAAACATTCCACATCCCATGTAAAAAATAAAGTTTCATTAAAACTCACGTCTAAAAGAATGTAGATGATCAATATTATATCTATTATGCGCGAACTAATATATAATTCTTTTCATGGGATTTTGCAATATTGCAAGCACTCTTACACATTCGTTTTTTAGACCGATAGTAGACAATCACTTTTATGTATACTAGTGGGCGACCGAATCCTAGCATGAGATGTTTTACTTATACATATATGATTGTTAACTAATTGTGCCTAATGCGCCTCCCAGAAAGCATTATAATTGGTCTTAAAAAACAAATGATTTTGTGTTGGATATGAATCCCCAATAATAATCCGCTATCAGCCTTAACAAATGATGTGTACACCTCTTTGATGAGACAATTGATTTTCCTGTCATTAGGGGAAGATAAGAGAGAATTCTCTAAGAGAATGACAGAATCATTACGATGGTACATCACTATTCCGTCTCAATGGTAAATCTTAGACTTCAAAATGTAACATTGAAGTGAATGTGTTTATCAATTATCATAAATGATTTAAGTAATCAAATTATATACACTAGCTGCAAATATATTTATAAGGCTTGGATTAAAATTAAAAGACACAATGCTAAAGGAAGAAGCATTGCAATCATAAACAATGGGTTGTGGTTAAAGTTGTGGCTCACTAAAGGAATAGAGGGAAGCCACATGGTTCAGTTAATTATCCAATGCAAGTACTAAGGGTAGATAAGACACAAATCAATATACCCATCAGCATATGAATTCCTCTCATGAGATTATCTCTGACCAAACATATGTCCATGGATCACTAATGGGGGACACCCCGAAGTTTAAATGATTCCAGAGAATTAAAATCTCAATGGTAATGAGAGTGTATTTGAGTCAAAGGATAGACCTTACACTTTTATTGACGATATATTTATACGGTTGCTCGAAAAACATAGAGCACGATGATATTGAACCATACTCTATTGCAATATGAAAGCAAAGAGAATATTGGCCTATATGCGTACAAGCAATCCAGGAATAAATTCAATAATTTACAAAGAGACAAGTATTTGGTATGGTAGTGTTAACTCACCAAGTGTAAAGCGTGTAGAGCATAAGCTAAACTCTTTGTTAGAAAGTGTAGTCAGACAATAAGGTCCTATTATTCTCACAACGTCCTGGATTCAAATATGAGAAGTTACACTTCTCTATTATGAACACAAAAATGTTCAGCTACTGAGTCTCTAAGTAGCCTACTATGTAATGGAGACACAGCTAAAGAGCGTGGTTATTAAATATTTCAACAAAATTAAATTTAAGCGAAGTATATGAAGCATATGTTTTGCTTCTTTGGTCCCAAATCAAATGATTCTAGACCACATAACTCAATTATATTGAGTTGTCACTTTTGGATTAAATAAATCTAGACGAAAGTAACATACCCGTCTATGTAACCACTTAACTGAAAAGGGATGCAAAGTGAATAGACTATGTCTTGCGCATTTATAATGAAAATAAATTTTGATTCCAAGTATCACTATCTCCATGATATAGACGTAATATGTACTCATAATGGAATATGAGATATGCTAGATATTTGAAAGTCATACTTGATGAAAGATCTTGGGAAACTCAACTGTGTATCGAAAAATAAAGTTGGTTGAATAATAATTCACCAGTTGCATGTATCCAAAAGGGTTCTCAGGCAAATTAACATGGATAAAATGCAAATGGTTAGCACTCCCATGGTCGATCAAAATATGGATATAAGAAAACATCCATTATTGAAGAATTCTGGAGGAGAAGGATTCCCTATGTAAGTGCAATATGTGCATGATTATACTTTGACAAACATATTCTACCAAATAATACATTCGATCTCAAGAACGTGTTAGCTGAAAATTGCTCAGGACCAACACATTGTATATCGTCATTGAAATAGTATCAAGAATGTACTTTGATATATATGTGAAACCATTGGTGCAATCTTTATTCATCCCTTATAAATTAAATTAAATGATTAATGATATTATTATTCCTAACAGAGTTGAAAATGTCAAAAGTATCACTCTAACACAAAGTAACGTGATTTGAGGTTTACGATAATGGATATCTCCTTACCTCATGGATATTTTCTTAAATGAGGATATATTTATCATGAAAGAAACCACAATATTATGTATGGAATACTTGATAAAGGTAAATATCAAGTACATAGTGGATTATTATTGATGCATTACACTCAGGGAATTTAGCTCCTCTCCATTAACTGGAATTCTCCATTAGGAGAGAGATAGAGTGAGATGGGGAAGTGGTGGGGTAGGGAGAAAGAAAAGATGGGGTTTAATTATTTTTTAAGGAGAGAGATAGAGTGAAAAAGAATTGGAGAGTAAATGGAGAGAAAGAATTGGTGAACACCGTACATCCAGTGGCATTTGGGTAAATTAAATGAAATTTGCAACATCCGCTTAATGAGCATTAATGTATTTTAATGAGCATGAGACCTATTTTTTTTCAGTATCAAAAGTATAATAATGAGTATCGTAATCTCTGTTTCATATCTTTAATTCACTATTTTTTTATATTTTTTAAAATACCTACAATAAATCTGTACGAGTCCAATATGTGAATCTAATTTAATATTATACTTTTGAAATATGCATGAATATAACATTTTAAAATGAGCATTACACCAATGTCAAATGATCATACATAACTTACGAAATGAGCAATGAAAAATTCAAAAAGTTCATTTAAATCTATAGCTCAACAAACGTGCATATTTAAACTAATAAAACTACATAAAATTTGAATGATATTAACAATATTAGACTTTCCAAATAGAGTTTTGAGGCTTGTATTTCAACAAGTACGAACTGATTAAAAATAAGATCATACATTTTCCACATTGGTTTACACATCTTCAACGTGATTCAATATATGCTTCCCAAGTTTGGTATGATAAAGTGCTGAGCGTTGCGCCTTAAGGACTATGACAAGAGATTCATAATGCTTTATATGACTTGCCTGCATGCAGAAAAAGAAAAATGCATCAAAAGATCAGTAACAATAGATATATAATGCATTATATTATAGATCATTTACGAGATGAGTTTTATTTACCTTTGCGGTCTGAAGAGTTGTTTGGATAACATAATTTCCAAATCGATCACGAGCAAGTAGCACTAAGCTCTTTTCACTGTTGAGAAGGCTCCCAACTACTGAATCCAGT